TGTGTGTGTGTGTGTGTCTCTCCAGTCCCTCATCCTCTCGCTTCCTCACTCTTTGACCTTCCCTTCCTCTAAGAAAAACCCAAACGGACCACCATGGAGTGGATTCCGAATCATAATGACTCTATGACACAGGGTAGGATCATAGCGACCCAAAGGGCAGGGAAGAAATCCCTGTGGGCTTCCAGACTGCGACTCTTACAGTCGAAAGAACTTTCTCCCGCAGACCAGCTGGTAGTTTCAAAGTACTGACCTTGCCCTTAGCAGCCCAACTGGCCACCCACTTTGCTACCAGGGCTCCTCCTCTCTCCAAGAAACTGATGAGATCCATACACATTCAAAACTCCGCTATCTTTTGTATAGAACGTAGTAATACGTATGAAAGGGCTTCAACACGTTCATGGGAAATGGCAGTAAAAGATAAAGAAAGCCCCTTGTATCTAGTTAATAAGCACATTGCATGTATTGTTTTTTAAATAAACGAGTGAAAAAATTGACAGATGTCTGCTGTAGGCGACAAACAAATCTCAACAATGCAAACTCAAGATTCCAACCCACAGTGACACTATACCACAGGGTAGACCCGCCCCTGTGGGTTTCTGAGACTAACACTTCAAGGGAGCTTCATTTTTGTGCCAGGGAATGAGTGGTTGGTAGTTTCGAATTGCTACCTTGCCGGGCAGCAAACCCATTACGTATTTCATTGATTCTAAAATGAAAGTCCCCTCTAGCAATTTAACATCTGAATCAGAATCTTAAGAGTTTGTTCATTAGATCTGATGAAATGCAATACTATTTTCTCTTAGACTTGACTGAAAAAGGTGACCACATCAAAAAACAAACCCACTGCCATTGAGTCAGTTCTGATTGATAAAGACCCCATGCAGTTTCCTACATTGTAAATCTTGATGGGAGCCCAGAGTATCAGCTTTCTTCCGCACAGGGGCAGGTGGGGGCGGGGCGAGGGGTTAAATCACAGACTGTAGTGAGCCCCACCAGGGCTCCTTCCCATACCCTGTGTTCTATGGGGTTAGGATAGAAGGAGTGGTGATGAACACAGGGTAGAAATGAGGATCAAAGACAATGAGAACGTACTCAAGGTCAAAAGAAAAGATTAAAAAAAGAAAGAAAAGCTTGTGTTGGTTTGTAGACGTAATGAACCCATGACAATATTCTCTTTTAAATTTTCATCCCTCAACTTTTCTAGATATATAAAACAGAAGAGTGCTTTCTTTGAATCACCGGAAGACCTTTGAATTACATAAATAGTAAATCTGTTAAGCTTTGCAAAAACTTAAAAAATCCTCAGTATTTTTGCAACACCATTTTCAAGTAATTAATAAAAGTGAGAAAAAGTTAAAAGCCAACTAGATCATAATAAATTCGACATACATACTGAGTTCTTCACATTCGGTATAAAATATGGTTTACAATAAGGAAGGCAGAGTTTAAACTTACAAAGTTTTAAAGTTGAGAAGTTTTACTTTTATGCAGAAAATAGACTCTGGCGATATTAAAGAATTAAACCCCATTTTAAATCCAGAGTGGAAACCTGTGGCATGTGAAACTTTTGGTGAAATATTTTGTAAAAGAATTTTTTTGAAGTGTGACATGATTTATTTATGTCTCTGGCTTACAATCATGTCACACTTCAAAAAACCGGTTTCCAAATATTTCACTAACTTTCATATGTCTCTGGCTTCCACCACTTGCTGGTCACTTTGTCATATGGTGGTGGCTGATGTGTTATGATGATGCTGGAAGCCGTGTCACTGCTATTTTCAAATACCAGCAAAGTTTCAACAGAACTTCCAGGCTAAGAACAGCCTGCAGAAGGAACAGGTTGTTCATTTCACAGGAATTAGCCCATGAAAACCTTATGGATAGTACTGAAACAGTGTCAGGTACTGAAAACTTCATGAAAATTAACAATAAGACATTGTCAGATAGTGCCAGAAGAGTCCTTCAGGTCAGTAGGCACTCAAAATATCACTCATAGGACTGAGGAAGAGCTGTTTTCTCAGAGTCCACCGAAATGACAATGATGGAGTAAGACCTGTGGGAGTGAATACTTTGGGACCTTCATTTGCTGATGGGATGTGACTGACAAAGAGAACACACCGCTGAAAGCACTTATTAATAATTGAAACTTAGAATGAGTGAGGTAGTTTACTGTGCCAACCTGACCAATAAACACATGTGGGGCTAACTGAAGGGCGGAGGGATAAATGGCTCAGTAGCCTCACCTTTCAAGTTCTCGGGTCTCTTGCTTTGTGATGGTCAGACCAGGGTGCAGCTGCGTTAGTCGGTTCCCTGCTTCGACTGGCAAAGCTCACTTCCAGCAAGACATCCCCAAGGAGAAGCCGATGGACCTACCTTGATGCAGCCCTGGGTGCTGCGGCAGCCGTGTGGAGACCCCTGCCAGCACTGAGATGCTTACACGTTCACTGATTTGGCTTTCCTCCTACAGTCAGCATCCTAGTGTGTGTTTTGTGAGATGGAGGAGGACTTTGTGGATTGGTGTCAGACATATGGGTTAATATTGGACTTGTGGGCTTAGGCAGCACTGGATTGGGATGTTATCTTGATGTGCACTTAACCTTTATATAAAACTTTCTCTTATACATGAGTTTCTGTGGATTTGTTTCTCTAAAGTGCCCAGACTAATACAATGAGGAAGTATGAATCTAGGAAAATCGGATGTCATAAAAAATTACATTGAATGCATAAAGATCGATGTTCCAAGTGTTACCCTGCTTCCCCGAAAGTAAGACGTCCATCTGAAAATAAGACCTACTTACAGTTTTGCCTCTCGCTGAAATATAAGGCATCCCCCTGAAAATAAGACCTCCCCAAAAATAAGGGCCCCCAAAGCTACTGTAACTCTGGATTCTGGACCATAGCGGAGGGCGCCGTTGCGCAGCTCACTGTTAACCGCAGTACAGCCAGAGCAGACAGGAAGTGTGGGGTCTCTTTTAATAAAACAATCAACAATAAATGTGTACCATATTCTTCTTCATGGAAAAATAAGACATCCCCTGAAAATAAGACCTAGCGCATCTTTGGGAGCAAAAATTAATATAATACACTGTCTTATTTTCAGGAAAGCAGGGTAGTGAGCCAAAATGGACCGGTATTACACATTTTGAATGAGAAAATAATATGGTTTAGTACACCAGGAATGACAGGTTCAAGAGAAATGGCCTTGTATTCATTGTCAAAAAGAAGGATCTTGAAATGCAATGCTGTCTCTGATAGGATATCTATCCACACACAAGGAGATCCAGTAAACACAACGATGATTCAAATGTATGCACCAACCACAAAATCTAGTGATGGAGAAATTGAAGAAGTCTACCAAAGACTTCAGTCAGAAATTGATTGAACATGCAATCAAGAAGAGTTGATAATTATTGAAATGCAAAATTTGGGAACAGGTAGAAACAGTAGTTGGAAAACATAGTTTTAGTGATAGAAAAAAAGTTGAAGATCACATGATGAAGTTTTGCAATGATTTCTTCATCACAAATATCCTTTTCCATTTGGAAATGATGATGGCAACCTATGTACAAATGTACTTGATACAAGTGGTGTATGGATTGTTATAAAAGCTATAAGAGCCTCCAATAAAATAATTTATATCAAAAAACTAATATATTTTGCCAACAACACAAAAGGTGACTATACACGTGGGTTTTTCCAGCTGGAATAGACAGAAATCAAATCGACTACATTGATGGGGACAGATGATGGAGAAGCTCAATATCAGTAGCTAACACCAGGCCTGGGGCTGACTGTGGAAGAGACTATCAATTGCTGAGATGTAAATTCAGGTTGAAGCTTAAGAATATGAAAACAAGTCCATGAGCACCAAGATATGAGTTTGCATCTATCCCACTTGAAATTCAAGGACAACTCAAGAACAGGTTTAATGCATTAAACACTAGTGATAGAAGATCCGATGAGCTGTAAGATGATATCATGAACGCCACACATGAAGAAGGCAAAAGTTCATTTTAAAAGA